AAAAAAAAAAAAAATTTTGTAGAGATGGGATCTTGCTGTGTTGCCCAGGCTGCTCTCAAACTCCTGGGCTCAAGCAATCCTCTTGCCTCGGTCTCCGAAAGTACTGGGATTACAGGCCTGAGCCAGTGCGCCCAGCCTTTATATCCCCATTTTAAATACCCAGAAAGTGTGGTTTGTCCAAGATCACAAAACTAGTAGTGACAGAGCCAGGGTTCGAACCCAAGCAGCCCAAGTCATTCCACGCCACAGTTTACTTAAAGCATCTTTCCCAGATCTTTAGATGGGTGAATCTGTGACGTCTCCAACTGTTCTCTTCCTTGCCTCTTATGTTTTCCCCAGGGAATGTGGGGTTGCATCCTCTAATCTCTTATCTCACCACCGCTCCCCACCCTACCACCCCCGCAGGGCGCCGTCTGTGCCTGGGCGAATCGCTGGCGCGCAAGCTCTTTCTATTTCTCACCGCCATCCTGCAGAGCTTCTCGCTGCAGCCGCTGGGTGCACCCGAGGACATCGACCTGACCCCGCTCAGCTCAGGTCTCGGCAATTTGCTGCGGCCTTTCCAGCTGTGCCTGCGCGCGCGCTGACGCCCCGGCCCTTCCAGATTCCCCTGTGAGCGATGAGGCCCGCCCTTGTGGGTTGCTCTGTCCCTCTTCTGGGTCCCCGATCTGCCCGCATCCCTCTCGCAGTCACGCTTTCTTCCCTGCACCGCTGTGCCTGCCGCGTGCCCATTCCCCATCCCTCTAAACTGTACCCGGTCTGCAGGGCAGAGGCAGATGTGGGGGTGGGGTATGTCTTTTTGTACCCACAGAGCTTGTTCTATGGAACGCCCTTTTCTGAGCTTTTTGTGTCATTTCTTAGTACATTTCTAATAGATTCGAATCAGCCTTGGCAGAATTAAAGGGACGACGACCATCATTTAGGATGGGGAGAAGGGAGCTGGCTGTAGAGGGAAACACCAGGCTAGTTCTGCCCCACCCTCGAGGGTGGGAGAAATTGTATCCGGGACACAGGCTTGAAGATAACGGCTGTGAGGACCTGAAGCCAGAGAGACAGAGAAACCAAGACAGAGAAAAAGACAGCAGGGCCAGGCCAGGTGGCTCACACCTGTAATCCCAGCACTTCGGGAAGCCACGGCGGGAGGATCACTTGAGCCCAGGAATTCGAGACCAGCCTGGGCAACAGAGTGAAACCTGACTCTACAAAAAGTGGGGCAGGAGGATTGCTTGAGCCTGGGGGGCAGAGGCTGCAATGAGCCATCATTGCACCACTGCATTCACACCTGGGCGTTCACATCTT